CTTTATGGGTTATTGATCTAACATCCGTAACATAATATGAACTTAGAGCACATTAATGCAGATAATATATAGTAGTTAAATGGTCTCTTTGATGAGGTTCTGTTCTCAAAGAACAAAGAAACTCATATACATAAGGTTGCAAAAGAAATGACAGATAACAAAAAAGATGTGGCAAATTAGTTGGTGTTATGGAGACAAAAAAAACGTTCTTTAAGAGTAACTACAAGACTACAACACATGGCCGAGTTTATTAAAACCTTATGAAGCCGCCTTTAATCATTTCTATACTTAATCAAAAATTTCTTTTGTAATTACTTAACAAACCCATCAACAATTACTAATTATATCATTGATGCTAGCTTTCTGTATATGTACATTAAAAGAGTAAACAAGAAAGTAAAAAAAAGTAAAGAAGCAAAGTGGTATCTTCGTCTTCTTGTTCATCGGAAGTAAAGTAATATCGGAATGGGTATATACTGACCAAAAGAATATTGCTTCTTTGCTTTATAATTTTGTTTGTTCTTACTTGCAAAAAGAGATCAATAGTTATATCGGAATGGGATCGAGAAGGAGTTTTATAAAAATTGGTTTTATGGAATATATATTATATAAAGGAAATTGGCATGAATGACTATAAAAAAAAATATATTTAATAATCTACCAAAAAAACATCCATGTGACCAAATCTTAATCATTAAATTTAGAGATTTTAGTTAAATTATTAGATTACATTTTTTTTTGGTTATTCAACCAATTGACCCATTATATAATGGGTAAAAAAAAATTTACGATTAATTTGTTTAAAATAATTTGAAAAAATAATTTAAATGATTCAAGGGTAGAAACGAAATTCTTTTTAAATATATCCATATTTTTGGTCAATTTTTTTAAATAAATCCTAATGGAACGAAGTTATGTATAGAGTTTATTGGGGCAATAGGTGGGTTAATTTGTCCTAATTTGGCAAATTTCCCTAAATAATCTGATTAAGAAGATTTATAATTTAACTAAGCTCAAAGTAAACCAGGTGGCCTCGTGGGAATTAAATTTCAATTTTGACTATAAAATTAGTCGTGTAGTTAGAAAAAGTCTTGGATAGAGAGGGAGATGTATCTTAGCAAATCCAAGAAATTCAAATTTAATTATTTTTACAAATTCAAATAATTGAGTTTTAAATCTTTTGATCGAGGTCTTGTTGGCTATTGTTTTATTGGAAAGTCCACGAAAGAAAATTATATTTAATTTCTTACTTGTCATTATCTATTATAATTATTTATCGTAAATTAAGCTTATGAGCTATGACAGCCCAAGCTCGATATTGACATTGTCTCGAAATTACTATAAACTAGCTTAGTTCCCGCGTTAAGTTGCGGA